GGCTGGTGGCACTGAAAACTGTTGGCACTTGCCACTGTGAGGAAAACCAGCCTGAAGAAGAAGCCAGACAGACCCAGAGGAGGGCAGAGTCTGGAAGGCTGCAAAGAAAGGTAGCAGGAGTTTTACCTCCGGACTCCGCACTGACAGAGTCTCCACGGTGACAAGAGGAGCATGTTTACTTGTAGCCCTAACATCCATGCAAGGAGAGAACTCCTCTCACTGCATCGAGACGCTGATCCTAAAGAAGAATTCTGCTTGGACCATATGCTTGGACCGTTGGAGTGACCATCTCTGAGGCTCTGTGACTAAGTAGGCCTGGGAGCTGTGCCTAGTCCCGTGTCAGAAGGGCAGGAGATGGTACTGGAATAAGGGGAAATGGAGGAGCTAGCCAAATCCCTCTCTTCACACAAACCTCAGCTACACCAGTCCCTAGATGGTTCTTGCCCTCCCCTCTAGCTTTACCTTGAGCCCACCCAGCCTCCACAGTGCAGAAAGCATGGCAGGCACTCGGTAAGCACCTACTCCGTGAGTGGGTGGAGGAAGCCCTTGCAGTTCCTGGCTCTGCACCCCAACTCTGATCGTTCCCATTGGTTCCCACCCCGAATGCTCGCACAGCCTGCCATCCATCCCTCGCAGCTCAGTCATCTCTCACGGCTCAGCCACTCGCTCCTTCAGTCTCCAGAGAACAGGCCACTCTCTCCTTGCTGTCCCCCAGCACCCCACAGAGGTTCAGGTTTGGAAGTCAGCTGGTCAGACCCACTCTGCAGTATGTTGGAGGCTGGGCCAGGCACTCTGTTTCTCCAAGGGGCTGTTCTCTCATTTCTGAGGTACAGTTGATAATGGTACCTGCCTCAAAATGTGGCTGAGAGACATAACATGAGCACAGATTTGATGCTGAGAACCGCCAGGTTTCTGACCTGGAGTTGAATACAGAATCCAAGCCCCTTACAGAGTCAGAAACCCCTCATATAGCATTTACTATGTGCAGGGCACTGGTCTATGCATGTATCTCCCCATTACTATTACCCTATTACAGGTGAGAAAACTGCTGCATAGAGAGGTTAAGTTACTTGCCCAAGAGCACACAGGGTAATAATCTGAAGAACTGGGATTCAAACCCAAGCATCTTGGCTTCAGATCTGTGCTATTAACTGCTTGGCTATGAGTCCTGTTGGCCTAACCAACTGTACACGTTTGTGGGATATATGAGTGAGTCCCTGTTTTATGCCATTGGATTTCACAGTTGACTCTGAAAATACGTATCTCCCCAGTCTGTTTAGGGCTGGGCTGGACTACCTTCCTGACCCTGTTTCTTCCCCTCTCCTCTCTATGCCACTTTGTCTCTATTTGCTCTGGTCAGGGTGTCTGGTTGGGACGTCACCTCCTGCCTGTAGCCGCTGCTCTTGGCTCTCCAGCCCCCGACTTCCTCCCAATTGCTGGCAATGTGTGCACATTCCCCAAAGTGCTGTGACATCTCCGAGGACATTACCAATTTGGGCAGGTCCCAAGAGAAGGGCCATTTCTTCCCCAAACTGCCTCTGGACAATCCAGTGGAAGTGGGGTAGACCTGACAAGTTTCTAGTGGCCTTAAAAACTTCTCTCTGTCGTATCCATAAACAACGGGTGCCTTCTGAGGCCTATCAGGATGATAAGGGGCTCGAACAAGGCCCTGGTAATCTTGCTTCTCACGCACCCCTGAGTCTGTTGGAGGGAGGTACCAATGTTTCTACTTCCTGGCTTAGAAAATTCTTTCCAAAGATGGCTCCCAAGGTAGCCTGGGGCTAAGTGGCCTCTAGCTCATTTTTTGACCAGGTCAGTGGACTCAATAGATAGCAGGCTTCCTTTTCCTCCTCTTGAAAGACCAAAGCCCTCTGATAGTAGCTTGGGAGGAAGCTAGTGAGTGCCACACTCACTCTTTAACCCCTTGCCAGAATGTATGGAAAGGAGGACAAGATGATGGCCAGGAATACTTGTAAAACTCTGCTCTGCCACTCAAATGCCTTCAGAGGCATCCTGGCCTCTCTACGGAAAATCTCCTGCTGGGGAATTCACCCTGTTCCACGCTGACCTTTCTTCAAGCACAGTGCTAGGTTGGAAATAAAGGGAAGCCAGACCATAGGCCCCGCAGCCCTCTCAGAACACGGTCAGGTGGATGCTGATGATGACAAGGACTGCCAGCTGGAGTGCCCTCAGAGGCGGGCATGTGTGGGGCTGCGGAGGCTCGTTGCTTCAGTCGGAGATGAAGATATTTTTAGGGATGAATCCGGGCCTTCCTTCTCTCCCTCCTTCTGATGCTAAGTAGCCATCTGCATCTCCCAGACAACCTCCACAGGCAGCATTCTAGAAAAGCAGGCTAGGGAAGTGGCTGTGATTATATATAGAACATAGAGCGGCTCCATCAGGAGGTTGAATTTGCCTGGTGTACCAAGAGCGAGAAAAGGCTGTGGGAGACTCGGAACCCACTCACTTCCTCTGGGACCCTCACAAGGGCCTCCTTACATCTGCGCCTCCATTCATTCATTTAATCTGACAAGGGGCTAGATAATATTTCTTCTAAGGTCCACTCTTAACATTGTGTGATCTTCCCTTTGAAAGAGCTGAGTTGTATAAACTTCCAGAAAATTCCAGCAGGACATTCCCTGGTGATCATTTTGCCGTATGACATCCTGAACCCACTCTTCTCCTCTTTCTGGGGGAGATGGTCAGCAAGGTTGGCTTGTATGAGGTGACAAGAGGCTCTGACCCAAGAAGTCCCAAGGTGTGTCTCCCTCTATCCAGGTAGCTCCCATCAATTCCCAGCTTGTCCTATATCCAAGGAAAAACACAGGCCCCAGGCTAAGCTAGCAAGGGTCTTTCTCAGTTGAGCTCCCTGAGATAAGGATTGGGAGTGGAGGAGAGGAGGCAGAGTTCTAGGAATGCAATGGCAACTTCTCATTTTTGAGCTGCTAGAACTTCTGTACTGAGCAATGCTATCTCTGTTCAAAACTTCATTGGCCCACAGTGTTCCTGAAATAATGACAAATTTGCTTTAATCTGAAGGGAAAACACTGTGCTATAGATAAGGCAATGGGAATTATAAAAAAAAATGAACAATAAATAATACAGCTCCCATAGCATCATGTGTTTCTGATGATTTATCTGCTGCCTTATTAGTTACATGAGTACAGGAAGCACATCTAGATCTTGATAGGGTTTGTTAAATGAATAAATGACTCTGCCTACATCCCCATCCACAACTTGGGGGTCTCAGGCCCGGGCCAATAGCAACAGGTCTTGTCCAGTGAAATCAAGCTGGAGACAGAGATAAAGGGGTTTCCTAAAGCTCCTCACTGTCTTGAGTCTGCTATATCATTCTGCAAAGAAGACAGGGTCAGGTCAGCAGTGTCTCCTCTTTCTTACAACAGACTTGAGCTCTACAGAATGCGTGAATGGACTAGCGGTGGGTCAGGCTGGAACAGTTCTTTCACCAACAGACCTGACCTGTCTAGTGTCCCAGAGTCATGGATATTAGAGGTTCCAGACACTGTGGTTAGGCCACCAGTGGTTATGCCAATTCTGGAATCAGATAGATCTGGGTCAAATCCACACTTACTAACCATATGACAAGATGCTTTACTCATAGTTTTCAGTTTCCACATCTGGGAAACAGGGTGATAATAGAAATGTATCCCTGTAGATCCAGGCTCAAATGAGATCATGTGTTGAGGACCATCTATCAACTGATGTCACAGGCCTAGTTCCATCAGAATGGAATATTGCTCCTCTGAGTTGGTGCTGATTGAGCTGTGTAAACTGAGCAGGGACAGCTTTTGGGAAAAACTCATCTGTATGAAGTTGATTAAATTCTGAAGATGCTAAGAGATCTGTCAGGTGGGACAACACCTGGGAAAATCCAAAAGGCCAGGGGTAGTAAAGAATAAGAGAAAAAATAGACCCCAGGTTTTGGGGACAAACTGTTCTGTTTGTACTTTCCTGGCAACGGAAAGTGGTCTTTCCTGAAGGTGGTCTTGTGCTGGGGAATTCCAGCAGCTTGGAGCCATAGTACTGTTTGCTCATTGCCCAAACCTGCCTGTTTTCCTCCCTCTGGATCATCTGTTCCAGGAACATTTATTGATGCTTACCTTGGGTAAAGCCCCATGATGGAGCTGGGCCCCAGAGGTGAGTCAGCCATTGTATCTGCCCACGAGTCTGCTCAGTTCATGATCACTGCTACAGCAGTGTGTCCCAGGTGTCTTGCATGACTTACACTCTTTAAAGTGCTTCATATTTCTTCTAGGCTCTACCTCACTCACACTGTTTTCTGTCAAGGTTTTTCTTTGGAGCTGTGGTGACTCTGGGCAACAGGGAAAGGTGGGCAGAGCAGAAACTAAGGCGACACCCAAGAAAGAAGGTATTTAGGTAATTTGACCAAATCAACACAGATGGTCCACACCACCACCCCTTTCCCTTCAAGTTCTATCCAAAGTAAGGCCAGTTCAAGTGAGGGCCTATTAGCTAGCAGAGCAGTTTGCTGATGCTCAGGATGGTCACCAACCAAACCAAGGAAAGAGACTGACAGGGTGTACACAGTACAGGAAGTGCTATACTGCTCCCTCATGTCCAAAAGGGGACAGTGAGTCGCTTTCCAGCTGCCTAGGCCAAGAACCTTGAGGCTCAGCCCTTGCCTCTCCCTTGACACTAAAATACCAACACCTGGGTTTTCATCTCGCAGCATCACCACGCCCTGCTCCCGTCAGCCTTCGTTTTGGTCTCCGACCTGCGCTGTTTGGGGTGGGAGAGCCCGGCCGCTCCCTGCGCTCAGGGCCGGGCTTCGGCCCACGTGCGCCAGAGGCAGCAGTGGTGACAGCCGGCCCCATGAGGGCGGGGAGAGCGCGGGGGTGGACCCCGCGCCGCACTGCCATTGGCCGTGCTCCTGGGTTTGGAGGCGGGGCCTCGCCCCCCGGATGCCCTGTCATTGGCCGCGCCGCCAATGAGGGCGTTTCCCAGTCCGGACCGCCGCACAGCGCAGAACTGCAGGCGCCCGGCCGGCTAAGCCTGCGCTGGGCCGCCTCGCTATCTCTCAGCTCCGCAGGCGGCCGCCGGGTCTCGACCGCTGAGCCCACAGCTTGAGGCGGAGCAGGCGCTGATCCGAGGCCAGGCTGCCCAGGAGTCTCTCGGTAAGGCGGAGGCGGCGTGAGCTTCGGGCGGGCGGGCGCGGGTGGGAACTGTGCCAGCTGTGTCTGGACTCTGAGCCCTGCCCTGCGCCCGGGAGGGTCAGGTGCGGCCATGGCATCCCACGTCTCAAACCCACCCGGCGGAGCGCGCTGCGAGCAGGTGTTATAGTCGATGGAGCCCACGGCGCCCCAGGTCAAGCCTCCGAACCAATTAGAACGTAACGAAAACCTCCTGCTGATAACCCGAGCTATCTCTTACTCCTCTCTCAAACACCCAAACCCTGCGATTCTAATCCTAGAAAATCCCAAACGTTAGAGCGAGGTGGGCGCAACGCGCCAGCAGTGCCGCCTGTCATCCAGCGGGTCCTTCCCGAACTTAGCTTCACAGGATTTGGGTTCCGCGCCCTTTATGTCCTTTGGCTCTTCACTGGGCGCCCCCCCCCCTCCCCATTCTTCTCCCTCCTTAATAACAGGAAGTTAAGTTGGGCCAAATGTCAGTGGCTAGGCCGGCTGTGGGCTGGGACCCGGGCTGGGGCCGGGGCCGCAGCACTGTCCTCTCGGCATCGCATGCCCCAGCAGTGGGCTTTCACCGCAGGCCCAGGAGCACCCGGGACCCGGCGTCCCCGGCGCCCTCCCTGTGGTTGTCTGACTGCCGGTTGGGAAAGGTGGGGTCTTGCCCGCAGTCCCTGCCGCGGCTGACCCGCGGAGCAAGTGGGGTTAACTTTATCCGGGCCAGCCTCATCTGTCAGAGCTGGGAACGGCCTTTACTGGATAGGGAAGAGGCGTGTTGAAACCAGAGTAAACGTGTGTCTCCTTCCACATTGTTTATTCTGGATCCTGGGTTCTTAAAGCGGAAAGAGCTTTCATTTGTAAGCCATAGGACCTGTGGGTGTGCTTCGCGTGCTGGCGCTCTTGCTGACAGTCTGGTCTGGTCTTCAGTGGTTTGGGTGAAGGATGAAGTCACTAACCAGCCCCCTTGTGGACAGGTCCTACGTGGAAAAAGCCAACAGTCAGTTGCCCTCCACATTTGCCTGCCTGGGTTCCCTGGCACTAGTGCCCTCTCTGTGCCAGTCCCTTCGGTAGGGGCAGAGGACCCAACAAATGGGCTTTGAGTCCCCAGGACAGCCCCAAGTGATGATCTGGAGACTTTAATTGCAGTAAGAACTGGCCTTCTTCAGGCAGAGGGAAGATGGATTTATTAAGCACCTCTTGGGCACCAGTTCTGGTCCTGGGGCATTTTTGCAACTGATTTCACTGGTTACTCTCCAAAATGACTGAGTTTTTGCCCCACTCTCCTCATTCCATTTTAGAGATGGGGAAAGAGAAAGTGTCTGAGCCAGGTCTTGGCTCTGTCCATGCTAAGTCCAGAGCCTCTTCTGCTACCCTAAGGCTGTGGAAAGTGGAATGCTATGCATGGAACTGTGGCTTCCCTGTAGGTTGACTGAAGCCTTCTGGCCTCTGGAGGATTCTGTCCACCAGGATTTCAGGAGATGTTTCTTTAGCAAAACACATGAACTGACCCAGGTTAGCCTATGTTATTCAACCTGCAGACTCGTTGCTTACACTGTCCTCTGGTCAAGGGTGATGGATAGTGCTGGCCATGATATGACAGGGAGGGATTGACTGCTGGTTTGGGGGCACTGTTTTTTTTTTTTTGGGGGGGGGGAGGGGGTGCTCTTTCCACCATTGACTTGGCCTCATCTTTGAGAGCTGACTTTTCCATTAGTCTGAAAAGACTATTTTAGGTGAAATAACCTTGACCTTAAAACAGATTCCAGTTTTATGACTTTTCTTTTTCTTTCCTTCTTTCTATCTCCTTCCTTTCTTCCTTCTTTTTTTTTTTTTCTTCTTTGGAGGGAGAAGGCAGGTGCTGAGGTATGCTAGTTGTGTTTGTGGTCTGATTGAAATACAGTTTGACATACCTTTATAAAAATGACATCACTTTTTATCTCTGTCCACTTTCTTCTTTGGGCCTAGGGCTTTGACTTTCTGCTCGTCCCTTCTTCCAAAAGAAAATCTCAGCTATATACCAATCAATTACACTTTAGTATAAATTAGCTTAAGGACTATGGCTGGTTGTGGCTGTGAAGTTCCATTCCCAGGAGCTACAAGGAGCATCCAGGTAATCCCCATTCCTTTTTGCTTATGATTGGGGTGTATTTTTATTCTCTCTGCCATGCTCATACTCTGTCTGGGTTTGCTTTCCAGCCATGCACCTACTCCCTTCTCTCCCCACTAATGAAGAGTAGAGGTCTTGCCTTCTTGGTGCAGAGGCTTGGCCAAAGATTTGGGCTGAATATTGTTAGTCCTCAGAGGACTAACAGTCTCTGTTATTTAAAGAGCCAGGGAAGAGAATACTGTTCACCATGCTGGGACATTTCATTCTTTGTATGAGAGCCCTGCATTAGCCCTCTGAAGATGTAGATGGGGCTGTTCCCATTTTATGGACCAGGAAACTGAGACTCAGAAATGTTGTAACTTGCCCCCATTAGAAAGTTAGTGAGATAAGATTGGATTCCAGCCTTGGTCTGTTGAGGGGGAGGGATAAAACATTAAGGGAAGCAGGAAAACCTTGTGGCTGTTCTCTGAACTCTAGAGCTTGGTGGGGAGAGTTCCTCTGCTGGAATGACTACTCCCTACTCTATATTGTAATTAAGTGTGAACATGTCTTCTCACCCCACCATAAAATGGCTTTAAAACACTCATAAATGGGCTGGGATTGTGGCTCAGTGGTAGAGCACTTGCCTACCATGTGTGAGACACTGGGTTTGATTCTCAGCACCACGTATAAATAACTAAAGTAAAGGACCACTGGCAATTAAAAAATATTTTAAAAAAACACTCATAAACTTAGCAGATTTATTTTCTGGTTCTCTTAAGTCCTTCTTGCTCTGTATTTCCTTAGCCTTTCGCTAAGGACATCCACCATGATGTGTTACTGCCCATTATTAAAAAAATATTATGAACATTTTCAAACACTTAAAACTAGAATAGTCTAATGAGACCCATATACTCCTTACCCAGCTTTATTAGCCACCAAGACTGTCAGATTATGTCTTTTTCCTTTCCCTCTGTTCTCTCTTCCTGAAGTATTTTAAAGCAAACCTCCGACGTCATGTCATTTTTTACCTATATAATCCAGTATTGATCTTTTTAAAAAAAGAATCTTTTCTTGCAAAGCCACACTGTCATCACTGCACAGAACAGAATGGACAGTATTTCTTTGGTATCACCTGTCTGTATTTGGATATGCTTCGTTGCCAGAAATGATCTTTACAGTGGTTTATTGGAGTCAGGAGCAATGTGCGTGCGGCACTTGTCCGTTGGTCCTTTCATGCCTGTTTCAATTGAGAGAAGCTCCCCTCCTCTCACTCAGCAATTACCCTCTGTTTTAAGTGCCTGTCTCTACCCTCCCAGAGCACGGCAAACCCTAGAGTTCTCTTCTATGCCATGCAAGATACACAGAGTAAAGTCGTGTGTGGAGGACCTGGCAGAGACTCAGTGAGCATCTGTCCAGTGTTATGGCCAATCAAGAAATGTGTTTGGAATGGACTGAACCCTGTTGGGGGTTGTGTACTGCCATGCACGTGTTTGCAAAAGAGGTTTCCAAAAAAAAAAAAAAAAAAAAAGACTTGCTCACATGTGGCTGTTTCCCCAGCAAGCATCAGTCTATGGACATCCTGAAGCAGAGCTGGCCCTCACTGACTGATTTATGGTAGGGAGCCCAGAGGGCCACATCAGTGCCCTGATAGCAACTGGCCTCTGAAGATCCCACGTGGGCTGATGGGGACTGAGGTCGTTTTTGCTCAAGCTTTGAACTCTGCCACAGTCATGACTATGCTATGATCCAGGTCTTTGGTGCTGGGCTTGGTGGAGAATGCCACACAACTTTTCCCTCTTTCTCTGAGCAGTGTTTTTCTTGCCTTCTAGAGCTTTCTTGAACCTGCTTCACACTTGGGTGAGTGATGGAGTGTTTCTCCAAACACCATTCATCTGCAAATGTGGAGGGGACAGGGCATGTAAGAAAATGAACATGTATGACCTGTTTGTTCTCTGAATTTTTTCTGTAGAGTTAAGTGTCACCACTGGCATCTTGCAGGAGACCAGAGGCTCGGGAGGGAGGGAAAGGATGCACCTGCCCTTCTTGACAATGCCTTTCAGACAGGCATCTCCTGCCCCATCTCCTTCTGGGTGCTGGCATTTTGGGACATGTCTCCTTATCCCACCTCCACCCTGTAGAAGCCCCTTCTCTGAAAGAGCCCTCAAAATGAAGAGCTGAATTTTTGTTTTATTATGTTTTCTGTTGGCTTCTTTCTTTCTTTCTTTCTTTCTTTCTTTCTTTCTTTGTTTCTTTCTTTCTTTCTTAAACACAGTCTTTTCCACTAGGAAGAGAGAGAACAAAATTTCAAGTCTCTCTCTGAATGGCAGTACCAGAGTTGATTTTTTTCCTTTTATTGTTCACTACTTAGTATTTTTTCCAAAATTTTCAGAGTAGAAATATTTTATTTTTATAATGAAAAATTCAAATATTAAAAAAAAATTTTTTCTCTTATAAAAGAGGACTCCAACTGATTTGGAATGAGTAGACATAATTATCCGTATATTTGGTGTAGCTATATATGTAAAACCACAGGGCTACTGGAATTTTGCTATTTCCTAGGGTCATTATTTTAAAGAACATCCTGGTCTTGTTACAAGTTAGGAAATAAAGAAAACCGGGGCTTAGGAAAGAGAAAAATATAAGACAACCATGAAATCTTGCCCTCCTCCCCATTGCGCTTCCTCCCTTTCCTTCCTGAGAATACTGTTTTACTGTTCCCCAAATGAGATCTTTCTAATGTTAGGCTCTCCATTTTGATTTTCGTATTCAAGGAGTTTGAGCCATCAGCCAAAATAAAGTGATACAGTGTGTTAGCACAAAGCAGACAGGGCTGAGCTGCTGGCTCCAGGGGACCGTCTTGTTCTCTTGGGAAAATGCCTGATGCCCCAACACTCTGCTCAGC